CTTCATGATTTCCAGGCCGTTCATGATTGCATCCAGGGAATTGGAACTTGTGTCCGGACCAACACTAACAGATAGTGTGTCTGAACCAGCAGAAGTGTTGGAGACAAAATCTTTGTAGAAGGGGACGTCCAAGTTTCCAGCTTGCTTTGATAGGTCTAGACTCCCAAATGCCATATCAGTATTTATATATAGATCGAACACCAGACTGTTCATAGATTTGCTCACAATATCGCAAAAGTGTACCCGAACAAAATACATGAAATTTGGATCGACTGGCAAGACCCAAGTGATGTTGAAGTTCACGTCGACAACATTCGCATCTCCCATGGTTTCAGCAGTAGAGTAAACCCAATATGGTGCTATTTCAGGGGTAACAGTGGGACCATATTTTATGTTTGAAGGTTTAACTGAAACATTTGTTGCTGAGCTGTTGACATGAAGATACTTAACATCATTCTCCCAAGTTCTTCCCAAAGTGTCGTTCTGAGCAGTGACCAAGGGACCGCCCATATTTAAACGATAAACGGTTTCCAGAGCAAATCCAGAAAGCCCAGTAAAAGGGCCAGGGGGAGATAGAACAACTGCCTGATCAGGGATTAAGCTATCCGGGACAGAAACAACTTCGATTGCATTAACAAATGCAATAGAGTTATTTGAAGGAATAAAATTAAGTACCAAGTTATCCGAAGTGACATTGATTGCATACTCCTTAAACAGGTAAGTACCATTAAAGGTCTTGAAACTGAAGTTGTGCAAGAGCACAAAGTTCTCGGTAACAACTGTAATCGAGGCTGATGTCAAATTGTGACCTGGAACAGGATAAAAATAAAGGCGAACCCAATGCCGGCCTTCTTTCTCGATCACAAATTTGTAAGATGTCTTTCTAGTAAAAATTCGAGCAGACTGGTAAATTGGAAATGGGGCAGTGGAATTGGAGGTAGCAACAAAAGAATTTCCCTGACTTTTTAAAGAAACTGAAGATTTTACTGAATCAGGAACGTAGGTTTGATCATTAAAGGTGACATTTTGTGAAGATCCACAGACGAGCAAGTAGTTATCAGCAGGAGTGTACAAGGAATATGATCCTTGACCTAGAAGACCTAGAACCACACCCACCCACATCACTATATTCATAGTAGACAACATTGTAAGCAGCTCAAATCCTCAAAACCAAGATTTTCAATTTCAAGAAAATCTCAACTTTATTCCAAACAAGCCCTCAATTGCTATACACACAAATCCCAGAAACAAATCCTAAAATTTACTACCTGTTCATCCCAAGATCTATGGAAAACAATGCTAAATGACAAATGGCCACTATAACAAAGAATGAATGTGCAAAAACAAAGGGGGTCTGAAAATTTTTAGGTGCTGTAGAATAAAATGAAAAAAAGATCAAAGCTTGTTCAGGAACCTTACCTTACTCACAGGGCTAAAGACTTGTAATATGTCATTGAATAAATGCAAAGCATTTACCACCAAGAATGAGAACACAAAACTCTACCAAGCTCAAGTAGTAGAGCTTTTTGCAGTGCAAACTGCACCAGCTCTTTCCAGGCTGTTGATTAGGCTGTCATTTTACAGAGATAGCAAAGAGAAGAAAATAAATAAATAAAAACTAAAAAAGGTTTTGACCCACAAAAGGAAATTGCAAAAACTCAAATCCCACAAATTGTAATATGCAACAGCTGTTTCCCAAGAGGTAATGTGTGTACCATTTTTAATAACACACAAAAGATTTAAAATAGTGGAATATTAGAGCTAAATTGCCAAATTCTGCTGGTATGCTTTTTGTCTGAAAATAGACTGTGGTTTTTGTTTTTTTTTTTTTCTAATTATGTTCTGGGCTTGTTAATTAACTATAAGTTGCTTTGCTGGGACTAAGGATCCCCGGGACCCACTTCAACGCGGCTTTGAGCTACAGATGGACCAGATATGACGGCGTTGCTTGACGGACGGGACCGAGAATCCCGCTGAGCCCTATTTCTGTTACTGTCACCTGTATTTTAACGGAATCTTGACTTTGTGACCGTTAAAAGTGACGTTCGTAATTCCATCAAAATTCAAACCTTTTCTACTAACCGCCGCACTGCGGCACATGGCAACGAACACAAATGTCCCTATTTGTTTCCCCTTTTTAAATTGTCTTAAAAATAAATTTTATTTTGTGAAAATTAAAATTTTGATATGAGTCAAAGTCAATAATCAATTTTAATCAGTATAACGTTCAATTTTTCAATTACAAATTTTATTAATTTTTATTAAGATCTCGAAAATCTCCACACTCTATAAAAGAGAACGTTAATGCACATGAGTTGACTTTTGCTGGCGATAGCCACAATTAGTTTTGGCACATGACACCGCCATTCCACAGCGGCTCTGTGAATCCATTGACAACTCAACCCCGCCATTCACGTTCAGTCAAAAAATAATTTATTTATTCCCAACTAAACTCACTTATGCATGCGACATTTACTTAACAAACATGATTAAGTTCACATATTGTCTACTTATTAACTAAAAACCATATTTTTAATAAATTTCGATAAAATTTGATGATATTTGTAATTGAAAAGTTGGAAATGTCAAGAAACGTATGATTAAATTTGATTTTATCAGGAAAATGAGTATCAAACAGGGCATAAATTTTCAACTATATATTTAATTAAGCTCCTATTTGACAACTATTCAAACAAAATTATTTTTTTCTCAAACTTATTTTCAATCATACATTCTCATAATAAAATCTTTTGCCCATAAATCCAAAAAATATTCTATTTTTTAATTACACATTCTCTAAAAAATCACTATTATAAAAACTCATTTCCCGAAAAATCTCATTTTAATGATTGTCAAACAGTGGCTAACTTTTATAAAATCTATTAAAAGTCTAATTTTTAGTTAAACCGAAAAGGGTCTTGACATCCACAAAGAGACTAAAAACACGAGCAAAAAATAGCACGTTCTAAGGAAGAATGTATATATGCAGATAGGTGAGTTTACATGGTTTCTAGGCAAATGAAATGACTTAAAGAAGCACATTTGCATCATTGATAGAATGAAACAAGTGTTTTTATGATGTAAAAGTAATGAATTACAGCCATGCTGTATATAAAATGATCTTTCTTGTAGTACTTGCTCGATTTACAGATTCAGATGTTTCGAGAAGTTACTATTAAGAATGACTCTATCAACTGCCTTCTACTTCAAATATACCTTCTGAAGCATTTTTCAAAAATAGCCTATGATCAATAGGACATTGCATCTTGGAATGCCGTCCTCTAGCTGGCATGGCAAAGGCTTCCGTTTCTTTTAGACGGTTGAAGTATATACTCTGTAGTGCTGGATTCACTCGAACTAGACTGGCCCTCTTAGGGATACTCATGGTTGCCAGAACTTATGTTCAAATGTGGATAGCGAACGTACACATCAAGCTCCTTCTGAGCAGTAATCAGCATGTTAAACAAGCGAAGAAGCTTCGGTTCTGCACTGCATAATAATGGACATCAAGTTAATCAAGTTTAAGGTACTGAAGATATAGATGTGATCAACACACAGAGATATCGCCTAGTATTTCCACTAATTCACAAATTAAACTCAATTTTGACGACACAAATGAATAAAAATCTGTACTAAATTCATCGTTCTATATACAAAATTGATATTTTTATCCATATTCACTTTATGCATGCTAATTTTATTTTATGCATGCTAATTTTATTTTAACAGTTTGTCTTGAGAAATAACATACCATTTCAAAACCGTGACTTTGCAATGTTTCTGAATGAGTTATGTAGAGCTTTATCCGTGCTATGTCAAAGACATACTATTGTACTCTGTTTAATTCTGTGTAGCAAGTCATTCATATAATACAAGACATTACCTATCTCAAGATTTTGGTTGCCTAGAATTTGCATATTTACGGATAGAGCCAACATCAACCACCAGGAATCCTGGAGGAAGAAATCAATATTTTGGTGCGATCTCCGTCCACATCACCAAAAGCCAAAGAAATAATTGCTTCTTCTATAATGTCTTTCAGTTGTTCTTCACATTGTGACTGCAAAAGGATTGTTATTGCATATGGAACACAAAATCTGTAAGCACATAAAACACACGATTACAGCAGTAGCCTCTTCGATTTTCCAAACCACCTAGAAATTTATATAGATTAACTGCAAAGGAAAAAAAACTTTAAAAAGAATGGAAAAAAGGCAAACTGATTTGGGCATGATATAATAGGCATAACTCACATATTGTCTAACCAATGGTACAAACCATGCATACTTTATAGCCTCTTCCAGTTTCTTGTCGTCAACCAGTTGACACACAATTTGACGTTCTAACAGGATAACGGTACTGGGATGTATTAATCGCAGCTGCATAAAATAATCATATATTGGCGAGACTCGCGTCAGGAAGGATAGAGGAAAAACGAGTCAAAGGACTTAAAACAGATTAGAAGTGGAATTTCAAGGCAGAAAGAAGTATTCTGACTTTACTTGAATTAGTTATCTATTTTAACTAGAGAACTGACATTATCCTTTTGTAATATGGACGAACTATGATAATATAATAAGCTTGTGAACTTCTTTAATGAAGATGAATCTCAGTTCATGTGTCATGTGCGTTTCAGTAATCCATATTAACATGCTCAGTGTAAAGACTGCAGCCTTACATTCCTCCAAAAGATCAATTAGGGTGAAAAATTATTGTAGTTCAAAATTTTCAGGTCAAATCAATCATACAAGTAGCAGCTAAATTCATTGCCTCTTAACTCATAACTAAAACAAGAAAGTCACTCATTTTCTTGGCATTTGAACGTGATTAAACTAGCAGGGACAACATCATACAACAAAAACCAGTAGCATAACTGAAATGCCTAATCATTCTAAAATTTCACCATAATTTTTTACCCAATTCAAGGATTTGAGATCTTCAAGAGCATCTTCAGCATCATGTACTTCAATTTTCTGCA